TCGAATCGCATGGTCCAAACATGCACTAGGGGCCCAAAGCACTTAACTAAGGTGGGATAATGCTCCACATAGTGATGTTTAGGACGAAGCCTAAACTCAGGGAAAGCTTCTTGCAGTATCTGTCTGTGGTCACTGATTTTGCAAACAAAATAGTCCAAGGTTTCATCAGTAAAAGATGGGCACAATGCTAAACCACCTCTTTTAATTCCATCAAAACCTCCCATGCAGCATTACCCTCTGGTACTTTACTGTCTACAAGTTATGGAAGTAGTCTGAGCAGAGTGGCATTTTCATGCCCATTGCCTCCTATTGTTCCCCGAGTCATGAATGTTTTGGGAATTGGATGAGGTTTATTTACTTTATCAGTGTGCTGATATGGGAATGATGTGATCCTTTGGTTCAAGTACTCTAAACTGAAGTACTTAAGACGAATCATTTCTTTAATGCAAAGAGCAAGCTCAACTGGAATGATTCCTTCCAAAAGATCATGTAGTAGATCTGGAGGAAAACCTGTGATGGGGTGGAAGTAATGAAGTGACTCACGCAGAACACAATCACCTTTAACCCCAAATTGGCTGCTCAAACTCTCATCTTTGAGGACATTTTGTACATGAAGGTCATGACTGGCTTTGGTTCTCTGAACAAACTCTTCCTCTTTGACCTCAGTTGCTTGAAACTGTTCACTTGTGGCCATACAGAATCTGCAAACATAATCTGCTCTGAATGACTCCAAAAAGCCACCTAATCCATGAGCAGCCAGATTGTCAGCAGAAACACGAAAGATGGTGCCTTTCACATTCTGACCAACAGATTCAATAAACAAGCCATCCTGTTCAAGAGTGTGAACATCACAAACCAGTGGAGCAAGTACAGCTGCATATTCATATTTCTGGAGGTCTGTCACTTTAGCTAGCACAGCTAGTTGTATAGTGTGCATTATTGATCGGTATTTGGGTGGCACATTTACAAGGACCCAGTATACAGCACAAAGTTTGTAGATTTTACGTGATGTGCAAAGAGGGTTAGCAATTTCAAGCTCATCAATATATACCTGGATTGCTAGGTGTAGATCTTCTATTGAGAGTAACTCATTCTCACGGAAATGAGAGCCATCACGAAATGACACATAACCTGGTTCAGTGTTTGGTTGTCTGATCTTGCTTAGGATGTCTGTGTTTTTAAACAGTTCCTGAATCATTTGAAGGATTGGAACATACATAATGGTATGACCAGGTGGCTCTAAATGGTACTCTACTGGCATTACTAATGGATAGTTGTGCTCTATAAATGTCTTTCTTTGCTTACAAGAGGACAACTCTGCACCTTTGGAAGTCGCGCTAAATACAACATTAGAGTCCATGACAGCACTGACAACTTCATTGAGTGTGGAATCTGTAATACTGTGACCATATCTCTGCAATATATCATTAACTGCCTCCTTGATCAATGGCTCAGATAAAGAGAAGATCTTATTCAAGTGGTCCACTATTTCTTTTGAGCTGTGTTTGACACATGAAGGATAGCCTGCATCTTTAGAAATAAAGAAACTGCATTAAGTTTGAGCTGATTTTTTAGTTTCAAAGTATCCCACTGCTCATCTTCTTCTTTTTCTGTGCTCTGAACTGGACACTCATACAAATCACCAGTGACGTCAGAGCTAGTGGCTTGGAGATTCTTAGTATGCTCATAGACAATGTCATTACAAAAGTCTGATACAAGACTCACATGGTGCACTCTACTTTTATGGGAATTAAATGAGTAGTTTACATTTGTGCTATAGTTACAATCATTGTATGGGCATGTCACTGTTTCATGCTTTTTTAAGTGTGTTCTTATGTGTCTAAGGAGTACAGACTCAGAAAAAAGTTGCTGATATGAGCATAAAGGGCACTTGAATGTCACAGATTCATGAATCTGCCCTGCACTGCTGCTATGTTCTGGAGTATGGTATCTTGACAAATGAGTACTCAGTGCACTAAGTGTCTGAAATGTACACATGCAATCATCATGGAGGCATGGCAGTGGGCAAATTCTTGAAAAGTAGCTGTGCTGCAGTCTAAAGTGTTTAAATAAATATGTTCTAGTGGTGAAAAAAGCTGAACACAACTTACAGTGCCAAGTCATATTCTGGGCAGCAACCTGAAAACACAAGAAAAAATGTTTTTACAGGACATCTGCCATTAAGTTTAAACCTCCACCAGAATTAACCAAAACTGCAGTCATATTCCTCATACTAGTAGAGTACAACTAAATACACTAACATTGATTAAAACAAAGCAAGTTAACAAGTTAGCTATATAATGCTGATAGACAACCTAGGATCATTAGCTAGCTAGCAAGCATTCATAACTCAAACATATCTAATCATACAGGACAAGAGAGTTATCACTTATCCATGGAAAGTGGTAAACAAAAAACACTTCGTCAAAACTCTATGTGGAAAGTTGAGCTGGCAGCAGCAGCAGCACGGTAACAATCACGTGCGATCAGCACCCAATGTGGCCCAGGCCAGCCAGGTCAGTTAAACTTGGGGAGAGATTTAGCGGTAACGTTAGCGGGAGCTAATCAATGGGGCCAGAGATACAGTAGCACCTAAGGCAGCATCTGTATTGTTCACTGAAGCTATGGAGCTTAAGGAAAGTGTGTAAGCCCTTGCAGATATCATGCGTGCACATTTATACTGTACAGCACTCCCTGGCGAAAATAAGTTCCTGCACACATGACACAAACACAGTGTCAACCAACAAGCCTTTTTCCTTGCAGTTTGAACTTAACACTATCCTCACAGTTTTAGGTTACATAAAACTCCGCAAATCGCCAGTCTTATTTTGATTAAAGCCACTGCAAAATTATAAATTTTTTAGCAATCACAAACAAAACAAATTCCATTTAATTTAACCAGTTAATTTCACTTACACGGGTTAAGCCAACATGGCTAAGGTATAACACCTGGTGCTATCGTTCGCATTCTGCTTCACTCACAACGCTGGCACAGCTCCAACACAGATTTCGAATTTTTTCAACTACATCCTGACTTTGCTTGTTAGCTTAATTGCTAACCTAACAGTGAGCTGTGTTACATGGCTAATGTGACTCACGTTGTCCGTTTAAAAACATGTTGTACCTTCTAACAAACATTTAAACAAGTTTTATGTTGAATACTTACAATTAATCCGATGGCGCCGAGAGTTACCAAACCGCTGCAGTCTCTGCTCGAGGAAGTGCTCGCAAATACTACAAAATAAAATCGTGTACATACTTCCGGTAGAGAAGAGAGACGAGTCAAGTACCAAGTCTTTAGGAATGTATTAGAGCCGACTTTTACATGATTTTAACATCACTTTTTATTCATGTTCCCAGATGTTCTCAAAAGCATAAAGTGAGTGGCTTGAGGACCACCCCCTCACCACCCTGTGTGTGTGTGTGTGTGTGTGTGTGTGTGTATATATATATATATATATATATATACACATATACATATATACACACATACACATGTATAGTATAATATTCTAATATTAATTGTATCTTATTTACACATGTAGTTAATGTATCCTTTCAAAATAAGACAAAAAACCATGTTTAAACTGTAGAGTTTTGAGTAACTATGAATTAATTATTTAATATAGTGGTTACATAACCTGCAAAAAAGTTCACATTAATCAAAAATAATCAGTTTAATAAACACAAAAGAAGGAAAATGCTACTGGCACTCAACATTTTTAAGTTAGTAGAAATTTTTAACAAATTTTAAGTTTACAGTACTTGAGCATTTGGGTTTACAGTGCACGTAAGGAATAGAATCATCACTCAGAGAGAGTTAGATGTGAAAGAATATTAGAGTGCTTTCACATATAGTTCTTGTTAAAGTGGCCAACAGAAAAGAGACTCAGTTGTTTTTGCGTTCACATTGTGAGTTCATTTGAATGAGGTCCCAGTTTAGTTTATAGTCCACTTACGCTCAGTCCTCTTTCTGTTTGCAGTTCCTCTGGAGTGCTCAGACAGTTGGTTTGGATTATGGTTAGATTTCATTTTTGTAGTGCAGTATTATGTGATCTGTCTACAGCAGGGCTAAAATACAATAGCCAAGGGCAAAGTGAACCTGGAGCACATTGTGTTCACAATGCACAGAATTAAGCGGGCTACAATATAGACTTGAAGCTTTAGAGGGTTCTAAGTTCATTTGGAGGGTTCACATATGTGCAAACAATTCTGATTAATTGCTTTTGATTGGCTGAAAAGGACAATGGTGACTCTCTTCTGTGTAGCTATGGTTTGTCTAAAAAGTCACTTGTTGCTAGGTGCTTTTTTGAAAAAAATCTAAATCCAGTAACAAATGCACTATGTTGGCAACAGTGCAGGCCGATAACATCCCCTCAATAGAAACTGTTTGTGGAAATTTATTTTGAGCAATGGCCAATGGGGAAACTCCAACTCACTCAACTCTATCACTTAGTCAGTCATTCAGAGACATTCATGATTATAGGGCTGGCACCACTGTTGTGGTCAAGACAAAAACAGCAACTTGTTTAAACGTGATGTCAAGTAAATCATCAAGCATTCACACACATAAAAGATTTGCAACTGACTTGAAATAGTCTTATAAAGACTTGAAATTTCACTTGTACCTTTTCTCAAGGAGTTGAGACCTGATTTGAGACTTGCTGTGACAGGAATTGAATCTTGATCAGGACCTGCAACAAGAGATTTAAGAAAAACTTTTGTTTTGGGATTTAATTAAAGCCATGATGCTGAGGAAACTATTAAAAGCCAAGACTGCTGTTTTCATTGCTCTACTGTTTAAATGTCCTCGATGTCTTCATCTACAGTAAAATTTCAGAGATAGATGTATTGATCAGATCAATGCTTGGTTGCACAATATGACCCTTCTGAAGAAATTATTGGTTGAATTTTATCCCTAATTTGAATCTGTCATTCTTTCCGTTTACTGAAAATATACTGTTCCCAATACCTTTTGTCTTTTTGTCGTCCCACCACAGCAAGGGAAGAGAATGTCGCCACTTTCCGTGGCTCAGAGTACTTCTGCTACGATCTCTCCCAGAACCCCATCCAGAGCAGTAGTGATGAGATCACGCTCTCCTTCAAGACATGGCAGCGCAATGGCCTTATCCTTCACACTGGCAAGTCAGCTGACTATGTCAACCTCGCCCTGAAGGACGGCGCTGTCTCCCTTGTTATCAACCTTGGCTCTGGAGCCTTTGAGGCAATCGTGGAGCCAGTCAATGGGAAATTCAATGACAATTCTTGGCATGAAGTCAAAGTGACCCGCAACCTTCGACAGGTAAGACACAGTGTATTATGTGAAAAAATGAATGTTGTAGTAGCTGCTAAGATTCCTTATTTTAATTCCTTCTCCACACAAATAACATGTTTTTCCCCATAAAAAAAAAAAAAACTGGGCTGAAGCACATCCATGCTCACTTCATGATTGACAGATCACGCCTTGCGCCTGTAGACTGAGCAATTTATACACAATAACAAAGGGTCCAAGGGAAATTGGATGGTGTGCCACAGCTAATAATATAGCTTCATTAACTTTGGGCTCTTCTGCTGACCCTTCTCTCAAAGGTCAGCACTGTAAAAATGGTTTGTAATTGGTAAGTGGTGTAAATCTGTCTACCCCTAACAAATGTCATAATACTAAATCTCAAAGCTTCATTACAAATATAAGTCTTGCTTTGAAAATTAGTTAAGCAAAAGTATGTAAGTATTATCAGCAATATCTAACTACAGTAAAAGTGAAAGTAGCCCACTAATAATGCAGAAAAATTGTCCTTGTAAGTGTTTTTGCAATTATATGTTAAAGTGATAGTTATCTGATGTGGGATTGTATGAGGTACTTATCTATAGTCAGTGAATTACTTGCAGTAGATTTAGATCAGCTCTCATTTTAGAGAAGCAGCAGGAGCACCAGCAAAGAAACTGAGTGATGAGCTGCTGTGGATGGGGACAGCAGAAAAATGTGTTTTAGCCACTTAAAAAAATACCACAGAAAAAAACTAATATCAGTTTGAGTATTCACTTTATTCTGAATATTTTTATCACTTTATCTGCCCTCAGACCTTTACTATGCACTAGCGCACCTATGGCGCACACTGTATGACTCTGCAGATCAGATGTTTGAGTCAGACAGAGGTAAGCGTAGGTGCGCTTGTTCGTGGGAATACGGTAATTCAATGCTCATCCAAAACTACTGCAGTTAATACGCTAACTATAGATAACTACCCCAAACAGCCCCACATCAAATAACCAGAACTATCACTTTAATGATATGGTATGATATGATATTATTATTACCGGTGCATTGATGTGCACACCTCCGGTCTTAAGTGACCCATGACAATATTACACCCTGTCTAATGCATTAATTTCATTCAATTAAAGGTAAATAATATACCTGTCATCTGGCTTTTTTTTTCCAATAAAATGCAATAAAGTGTATCTGATATGTTAAACCATTTTGATGTGGGTTGGGATCATTATGAACATGCAATTGAGTCTTGGTAATTCCATCATCTTTATTGTGGCAATATGTCCTATACTAGAGAGTGGTAGTGTTATCCATTGATTGCATTTGTCTTGTATTGTTTTTAGTAGTGGAGCCAAGTTCAGATGGAACAACTCAGAACACAGAATTTTATACGTAAATATGTGATATTGCCAGTGCTGGGTGGTAAGTTGGGAATTTGTGATGTAGTGTGACAGCTATCTCTATTTGTTTGTAGGATGGTGGATTTATTCCAGTTTATTGTGTAATCAGAAATGTTGAAAAATATATTGATGGTTTTTCTGTTCTGTTTTCAGTGATTGATTTGTTTGGATTTTGTAGGAATAGGAGTACATCATCTGCATATAGGCTACTTTTCTGTGTTATCTCATTAGTGTGGATGCCTGTGATGTTGGCATGTTTCTGACACGAATGGTTCAACAAAGACTGCAAATAATGAAGGTTAAAGTGGACATCCTTGTCTGGTTACTGTGTGGAGTGTGAAATTTTGAGATTCTGAGATTAGATTGTTATTCATGATTGCTGCCGAGGTCTGGTGTAGAGTGTTTAATCAATTGTATAAATGACTCTCCAAAAACAAATTTTCCACAGTTTTTATAAGAAATGTCCACTTTACTTTCTCAAATGCTTTATCTGTGTCTAGTGAAAGGATGATTGTCTTAAGAGTTATTTTGATAGAGATATATTTATCGTCTGCCTTCGGTAAATCCCGTTTGATCTGGATGAATAAAAAAGAATGGACAATACTTGTCCTGGGTCTTTTCCGACTATAGAAGTCCTGATCAGATCTTTTTTTGGCCCAGATCCTGATCTGAGTCCTTTAATATTGGGTGTCTGTGCCAATACTTTGATTTACCTAACTGACACGGCTGCCCAGTGCACATGAGGTACAACCTTAATATGAGATCTGATAGAAATTTAATCTCCAAAATAATTTCTGTGCCAAAGACACTCAGTATACATAGCAAAAATAGAAGGTAGCTAAGGATATGCAATTTTATCAAAAATACAGTATATCTGACATGATAATTTATATGCTTACAGATAATGGCTTTAATTTACTTTTCTTTTCAACCAGATACTTTACTTTGATGTTGTTCAAATGCTAAAAACACTCAGCCCACCTGTGATTACAGTAGTATTACAGAGTGGAGTTCCTCCCAAGTTTCAATTAATATAGTAATATTAATTAGTGATAGTTAGTGACATGTGTCATTTACCTGATGCTCAGTGCAGGATAACAATAAGAAACTGCTACCTGAATGTTTTATACACTGCTCTTTAAGAAGGAGATAAGGGAGATAAATATTTTATAGTGGATTTGTTCACGAGTTTAGCAAATCTATGCATTTTGCCAATCCAGGTGTCAGACCTGAAAGTCCCAAACCTAAATAATTTTTCACATTTTATGTATGAAGTGAGTGAAATGCTGAACAATATAAAGAAGAACAGCTGCAACACCAGTAGAGTGTAGGGGAGAAAACAGTAAATTAAATAAAGGATCTCCATTTCATTGGGTTTATTTTACCCAATATACCATGATTGGCTTGGGATTCTCTAGAAAACAAACAATGTCCACACTCATGGAGTCCCAGACTTTGAGGAACATTCCTGGTAAATCTGTGAAGGCTTAGGTCTGTTCGCTGTCAAACCATTGAGTGCATAAGGGCTGTCTCACAGAAATTTTGAGCCCTAAATGGACACTTTCCATATTCAGTATTTCTGCAGACCTTGCCTGAGGGAATTATCCACAGTTCATAGCTAGCATTGTGATGCTAAATATGGGGAAGGGGAAGCCTGAAAGCATAAGAAAAACAACCGACCCTAACATTAAAAGAAAAGTTTGGTCTTGTCAGGGTAAAATGATATGTCACAAAGTCCTGGCCCATTCCTATTTATACCATTTCGAGGAAACTCATTCACTTACCCAGTCACATTACTGAAGTCTGTGAGGGCTCAGGATTTTAGGGGGGCATTTGTGTGGTCCAATTCCTTTAAATTACTTTTGAGCCTTGGGAAATTAATGTCATGAAACATTTTTGGATGTCTTTGGGAAACAAGGCCAGTCCTTTCAATCTTGCCTCTGTTTCTACCTGTTCACCTCTACCATTGTTTGGAATGGTACAACTTCTCTTAAAAGTATTCAAAATAAACAAGTTTTTACTAACATGTGAACTAACCCCCTCACTTTTCATCATTTGGTTTTCATTTAATTTGCTTTATATTAATAAATCCACTGTTTACTAACTAACCCCACCTTTCTGCAAAGCAAACAGACATTGGACCCCTTATGGTCAACAAACTCCATTGTGTGGTAGATATCATTCTTATTGTCATTTTTGGTTTGCTGTGTAGTTCTCTCCTTGCCTTCTTTAAGACTTCTACACATCTAGATACCATTCCAAAATGTTTGCTTTACTGTCCTTGCCTCTCCATCTTCACCTGGTTCTTCCACTCACATTGCTTTTATGCTTTTCTTTTCAATCCACTCCTCTTTTTTGGTCTCCCATCATCACTTTTGCTTCTAGGTGCTGCAAGGGTTTTACTAAATCTGCTTCATTCTAGATTCTCTAATTTAAATGTTTATGGTGGCCAGAAGTATACAAAAAACAAAATCCACACTCTGACAAATGTCTCATGTACACTATATGCATGGCCTAACATGGACTGAATCCTCCTCACACTAAACTGTCTTCTTCATTCATACTCCTGAACAAGTGAAATTACAAAGCAACCCACACTGTAGGAGAAAACTGGATAACTACCAATTCCACAAACACTACAAGCATTTTGGCTGTACAGTAATTATAGACCAGTCCCTCCAGGATTTCACTGGCTTCTTTGGGATTGTTGTAGCTAAAATATCTGATTGTGCGATAGCTTTTTTTTATAAAGGGTGTTTTCTGTCTTTTCATCTTTACTAATTAATGATTTAATTCACTGAGCAACTCAGAGGCTAGTGGAATTTTTTTTTGAGTATTACTCAGCGCATGATGGACATTTGGAAATCAGTCAATACACCTTAAATGTCAATATGACAACTTTGCCCATTTGTTTTTATTAGCCCATGACTCTTTAGTGATGATCGGATCTTCAACTGCTTAAAATGTAAATAAATTTCAACCGGATTATGTGAACTGTAGATATTTTATTTCATCAGGAGAATTAAAGTAGCAGAGCGTCATTCTAGTGGTTCAAGCAGCTCTACACCTATGGTTCCACCACAATGTTGCAGCAGTACAAAACTATTTAACCCATGTTCATGTAAAACATCTCTGAATTGCTTTACACGGTTTTTAACAGTAATGTTTGTTGGTAAATGTGAGATGTTTATGTCACACATGTCTTCAGCTTCACAACATGCTTCAACACCAGAAACAAGGAAGTGAGTTTGGTGACATACATCAAGGTTTTGATCAGGGACTGCTGTGATTGGTTCAACTCATGGGAAACTGATGATTTTTGATCAAATTTGCGCAAAAATTGCGGTGATTGGAAAAATTCACAGGAATTGGTTGTATTTGCGTCAATTATTGCAATCGCAACATCGCTACTTTCTGGAGGGACTGACACACTAGGAGAGATATGAAAGAGTAAGTTCACAAAGCATTACAGTACAACAGATATTTATGTTTGGAAACAAAAGTCCCTGAATATTTTAGATGGTCTGTGACCAAGGAAAACTTAGGAGATGATAAACAATGACAAAGGGCCAGTTCTGGTTTTACTGTAGATGACGCATCACTGTACAGAAACACTTGGGTATGTGGTTTCAGTACAGCTCTTAGTTAAGCAAAGCAACAGCTGAATGCTAAGAATTCTCAACTTTTAGCTGAAAATACCACCCATTTGTTTTGCTTTATCTTGGCCTCCTGTGGAACAGAGTGGTATTTAATCCACCACCTGAAAAAATGATACACGATTGTAATCCTTGAATATCAGTCTAAAATAGAACAGAGAAGTATAAGAATCATTTCAGTTCATTACTTATTCAACTTAGTACAAATACTCATGACAAACATTCAAACTTTTATGATTATTATCAGCAAAATGTACTGAAAATACAATTAATTAAACATATAATAATGTTTAAAAATAATTATGTATTATTATGCAGTGTTAGAGGATTATCATTAGTTTTGAATTAACATGTAAGCAACATTTCAAGGCGAGATTGAACAAACTATCATTACTTTATGTAGATTAGTGTAGTTTTATCAATACCACTGTATCTTATCTTATAAATGTTTTGAAATCTTGATCTGTAACTGTAGCTGTTGAGGATGCTGCTTACTTCTTTACCACTACATTTATTTGACAGCTTAAAGTGCATAACTTGAATGAATGTTCTTTGTTTCTTTCCACGTCTGCTGAAAAGTCACAGATCAAAGTCAACAGTAAACTTTTACTGCACTTCATTGTTCCCAGACTGATATCCTGCAGTGTTGGTCTGCCATTCTGTGCATCCTGCATGTGTTGTGACATAAACTCCTCCCTCCTTTCTGTACGTTTGTGTCTGTTTTTTGTCTTTGCCTGTATTAGTTTCTTTCCTTCCTCACTTATTTAGATTGGGGTAAACTGGTTTGTGGATAAATGCATGTTTAGTTAACATTTTGTTTTGAAATTTTACTAACCATTCATACCTATCAATAGTTTCAACATCTAACTGACTCAAAAATAAATAAAAAATATGGGCTGGCACATTTTCTTCTTTGATCCATAACACAGGTAAACACATCACCAGGTGTGAGATTTATGATTTACATAGACCTGAGACCAGTACACTGTAAACCACCTTTATCCTTCGAATCCAAGAAAAATTAATTTCATTCCTCACTCTCAGGTGACAATATCAGTGGATGGAATTCTGACCACCACGGGTTACACCCAGGAAGACTACACCATGTTGGGCTCTGATGACTTCTTCTATGTGGGTGGAAGCCCCAGCACTGCTGACCTGCCTGGATCTCCAGTCAGCAACAACTTCATGGGCTGTCTGAAGGAGGTAAAGTACCTTATTCATTGTTTACTGTCAGAGTGAAATATGGTGCTGATGCATGCATATTAAATGGATTTTCAATTTCCAGTAAATATTAGGTCTTTTAGACCTAGTTTTTTTTTTCTAGTATATTATTTGAGATATAAAATTAAGAAAGAGGCATTTATTGAGAGGATGCACTTCACAGTGGGTTTACATGAAGTTGCAGTGATATATTTTTTGCAAATGGGGGCAAAAGAAGACTAAAAGAAGCATTATTCCCTGTCTGCAGGACTGGGAGCAACATTAGTCATGTTTCTGTTCACTGGACAAAAGTGGGAGTAGTCAGTCTAATCACTGTTTGTCTCTAAGTAAAATCTAGCTGTTTAGATGTTCTGAACTTTGCCTGTCAACTGTTTGGTGCTGGTAGTGTACAGTGGGTTCATCAGAGCTGTTTGCCAAAGTGTCTGAACATGGGATTGATGAGAGCAGTGGCAGTGATGTGCGTTTAATATAATGAAGTGTTTAATAAACTCACAGAAGCGTCCTATTGTCTTCTACCTACTGCTAACAGTATGCTGTAAAACTTGACTGATGTTTATACTCGAGTCATTGGGAGCTGTACTGGGAGCCGTGGTCTTGAACCCATTCTACTGCTCTGCTCCTCCTCTCTGTTGTCTGCAAAGTTACTGCTGATAGATGAACAACTGTTTGAAGCATCTGGATTTTACTGGATTTTTCTGGATTTCATCTTCTTTTTCTGAGATTTTCAGTCACATTTTTTTTTTCAAATGAACTTTTTAAATGACTAAACACAATGTGATTGGCTGTAGAGAGAGACAGACATGAGGGAGATGATGATCACATAGAATCAGAGTGACGCCACACAGCCATAATACAGCCAGATATATCTTCTTCTTGCTCTCTCTCTCTCTCTCTCTCTCTCTCTCTTTCTTTGTCTCTCTCTGTTTTATTTTTTTCACATTGAACCACTGGCCAAGTTTGTGTAACGGCCCATCTGGAAAAGTCTCAGTTCTCCCAACGGCCACTCTGGCATCAGGACAGGTTTACATGGAAAGAAATTTATAAAAGTAAAAGTATAAAAACACAGGTCATCAAAACTAATGTATTTGTATTTCCTTACAGATATTTCTGTGCAAGTGCTTTCATACACCAAAAAAAAACAAACATATTCCCTCATTACACGACTCATTATAAAAACTAAAATATTGATATTTTTAAACTTCTTTCGCACAATGTAATTACCCAAGAAACAGAATAGAAAGCTTCATAGTGAATCGTTGGGCTCTCAAGTTTTCCATTGACACCAATGTTGAAAACTTCTGCAACCTTTTAAAGTGCACCTATGTTTCATACCAGTGCATTCAGCTTCCTGTTCTGTCACTCACACTCTAACATGCTATTTGATCTGTGTTATTGGCAATAAATTGTTCAAGGTGTTTGAATTAACCACTGTACATACTTTAAATGACATTTCAACTGCTTTCAGCACTTACATACCAAATGACAATTCAACAGAATGCAATGCTTAAACTTGAATTTACTTTACATTTCATCTCCTATCCTCACATGCATGTCCACAGTTCTAGGGAAACCCACATTTCTATATCTTTCACTTCTTGATCTTCTCATTCTGCTTCAAGTGCTGTCAGCTCTGAGATTACTGTTTACAGTTTATCTGTTTGGTGTGGCTGCCTCCTCTTGTACCATGGACTACAATCTGTAAGGAAAGCAGCCCAACAAATGTCAGACTTTTTACTAGCTGCCAGTGGTTGGCAGGCAAGTGACAGACACTAGTCTCTAACGGGTTGACCCCTTCCTCTGGCCGGGCTGACCCCTTCCCCTGCGTGTGTGTCAGCTTGTGAGAACGCGTCATAGTGCATATCAGCCATTCATCCTTCTGGGGCTGTGTGAGTGTGACATAGGGGGGTGTGTCCTAAAGGTGCAGTTCACAACCACCTCAAACTCATTTCATTGTTTACGTTTCAATTGACACTTCAACCCTTTTTTCATGACTTGAGCAGAAGCAGTGCAAGGTTAAGTGTCAAATAACATTCATATCCTGTTTGTTCAACTGTTGCCATTTCACACACAAAGAAAAAATGTAACACTGTCTTCAGCAATACATGTCAGTTAGTACAATTTTATATTATTCATGTATTTACAAATATTTTTTATACAAATAGAGTTCCTCAAGAAACTCCAGATCATACTGATGACCTGAATGCTTACATACTGTAGGTTAAGATAAGAGAAACAGTTTGCAGAAGAGACAGAAACAGAAATGTGATGAATGAATTTGCTGCTTTCCCTTTGCAATTCATGTTGTTTTTAAGGGACCTGAGTTGTCTTGAAATTTTTTTTTCATACCAATTTTGACTGTAAAAAATGTCCCATTGAGTGAACCCACACACACACACACACACACACACACACACACACACACACACACACACACACACACACACACACACACACACACACACACAGAGTACACATAGAGTACAGAGCATGATATTGGCTGCAGAGAGAGGGAGGAAGTGGTGCAGTAGCCATTTAATCCCCCTCTGGCCTACTTCCTGCCCTGTGCCATGCTGGGCAGGTTCGTGACTGCCTGTACCACCCACCCCTCATACCCCCACACACACACAAACACACACACATGCACAGACAGGCCTACAGACGGATGACAAATAAAAAAAAAAAAAATAGTGGGGAAACAGAACGTCAATGCCCCTATCCATACTGCATGAGGGGTCACTGATGTGAATCTTATGCTATGGCAGGTTTGTGCTCTCAGGGCCAGAAATGCAAGCAGTGTTTGACCAGTTAAAGCTAAAAACAGACATCAATTAATGATACTAAAGTGAAGTGATGTCTCTCCTTACATCTGATCTCAGAGCAGCTTCTTTCTCATAAAGGATCTGATGCCTGTTTGATTCATCATATAATTTACTGCCCTCCTGTGGTCGCAGCAGGGTATTGTCCCAAGCAGAGTGACTAGCGCTTTTCTCTTGGAGATTTGCGCATTGAGGATAATCCTGGATCTGTGATGAGTGACTAGCTATAGCCAAAGTGAGCTTGTCAAGCTGTGCTTGACTCAGCTTCTACTGTTCTGAGATCAGTTATGATATTGTAGCATTACACACATAGCACAGATGTGTGTGGAAACTCAACTTGCCCATTAAGCGTTAAGAGGCAGCAGCAGCAATTAAACAAGGCAATTACACTGATTTATCATCTCTGTGTGAGATCTGCTGTATGTTTGAGACAGAATGTTGTTACAGGAGTAGAGCAGCTGCTTTCAGGAATAGATCAGTACATTGTTGTGTGCATGGTGGGTGAGAGAGAGAGAGACAGAAAGACAGACAGACAGAGAAAGAGAGTGGTGAGGCTGGCGACAGAGCAGCGTTAGCTTGTTAGTTAGCAGTTAGCAGTGTAGCTATGAACGTACGGTGTCATGTATGTGAACTTTAGGCTGTTTGTCAGTAAATAAATGCTACAACTCCTCCAGACCCAAGTCGTCACCCTGAGCTTTAACTACAGTCCAGACTCTGAGCCAGGAAGATTAACAACACTGAGACAGTTAAATACAGGATTCTACATTATCATTGTGTTGTTGTCAGTTAATGGTACATTTTCAAGATTATCATAGAAGTGATACTTTTCCTCCATAGTGCACATTTAATAAGTTTAGTGTCAGTTCAGAAGAATAATCCTAAAACTTGCTCAGACTGGAAGGAGAAAGGTGAAGATGTCCAGACAGATTTTAAGAGAGCTACAGGTCTGCTAAAGGTTTGTTTCAGTCTGGTCCATATTTTTGATGTTAGTCACCGCATGCCACTGTGCTATGGCCTTCACAGTCACCAGTTCTCAACCCAGTTGAACTTATAGGAGATTTCGGACTGACATGTGAGACAGCGCTCCACACCATCATCATCAAAACTGCACATGATTGAATATCTCTATGAAGAATGATCCAACACCTTACTGAGATGCTTTATGTTGGTTTTTCTTTTAATTTGCCTCCGTCTGTATGTCCACATACAAACTGAAACAGAAGGCGCATGCACATTAGATCTGAGTCCTCATAGAGATATCAAGGATAGAGTTGGTGTCCCATAGCAAATATTCATGCTGGTTCACACACATATACAGTCCCTCAATATCCAACACAATTCAACATAAAAAAGCCTTGTGTTACAGTGTTTCAGTGTTGATTTATATATCACGTACACATTCATCATTTTCAGATTAAATGTTTGCTACTATCAACAAATCATTTTGCATGTAAGTGATTTATCTTAAACCAGACATGTCCAAAGTCTGGTACAGCCTGCGATTTGCCTCTCAAAATATACTAAATTTGTCCCGCCACACAGTATTGGTTAATGAAGCAAGTTCACTCTGTGTTTTTCCTGTTCATCCTCACAGTGGCAGCACTATCCTACAGTTCGTAGATATCTCTACAATGCAGGTGGAACTAATGTTTTCATAAACAGACTGTAAACAGGCAACAGACATTTGCTGCTAGGCAGCAGTCATGGCCAGTGCAAAGAAGAGTAAAGTCGCTGCACTCAGGAGCGGAGGAAAGTTGAATACTAAAGCAGCCAAAACTGTTGTGTGTGTCTCTCTCCCAAGAGATTGTCACTGTTGTGAAAGGGTTCAATATGAAGAGACACTATGAGACTAAGCATAATTTACCAGTGGCTATCCTGCAGTCAATGGGTGGAGAAAGTGAAACATCTTGAAGCTAGCTTAGTCTCCCTGCAGTGGCTTTTCCCACGGCATGACCCCCAGGTAATTTTCCCATTATTAAATCTGGCCCCCATTCAAAAAAGTTTGGACACCCCCCATGTTGATATACATGTTCATATGTGGCTGTTCACTACATACTGTATGTACACTAGAGGAAATGGATCAATTGTTTGTATCTAAAGAAAGATGATTCGAGGTCACACTTTGATTTGTCTTGATTTGGAGTTACTCTATAAATTACATTAATC